TGGAAGAGATATATGCATTCCCATGTTCATTACAGCATTTCTTGAAGTAGCTAAGATATGGAAGCAACCTAATATCAGTAGATGAATGGATAAGGAAAATGTGGCATATACCTACAGTGGAATCCTAACAGCCTTAAAATAAAGAAATCCTGCCATATGCAACATAAGAAATTGAGAGACATTATGCTACATACAAAATAACCCAGTCACAAAAAAAGTACTGCATGATTCCACTTATGTGAAATATCTCAAATAATCAAATTCATAGAATCAGAGTGGGGTGGTGGTTATCAGGGGCTGGAGGGAGGTGGAAATGGGAAATTGTTTGTGGCCTGTCACGAGTCGGGAGGCAGCCATGGGCTGTGTGTGAGCTATGCGCATTTGAGTATATGAGGGGACTGGACTGATGATGCTGCTCTGACTGGGCTGTGCCACATGTGTGTCCTTGTTTGCTCACTCTGCTTATGATCCCCACACAGCACCTGAGATGGGTGTGGCTTTCCAAGATGTCAATCTGCTGACCACAAGACATCACCAAGAAACCCCCTGAAACCCAATCCCTTGCCTTATTTGGTTGAATTTTCTTGAATGCCTTCCCCTCAATAAATAGGATGGTCTCAGGTGTGCTCTCTCTCTTTGCCTGCCTCTTTGACTCCCTTGTGGAAGCTGAGGTTGAGGAACTGTCACTGAACCTCCAAAAAGGTTTTTCTGTCTCTGTGTGGTTATTTAGTAGCCAGGGAGTGACCTTGATTCAGTTGCATGTCGAGGCAGTGGCAGATGAATATATTCTCTAGAGATCTTCTGTACAATATTGTGCCTCTCCCTGTAGTTAACATTGTGCACCTAATTAAAAATCTAGGAGTATATTTTGTATTAAATGTACTACACACACACACACACACACACACACACATAACTGCACATCTTGAGAGATTGTTATTATCCAGCAGATGTGATAAATTGAAGTTTTCTAAAAATGGTAGGTATCCCTTCCTGAGAGACTTCCAAATGTCTGGGACCTAACCATTAAAGAGTATCTAGGCTGGATTAAATGAATAAATGAATAGAGAGAAAAGGACTTCATACTAACACCATCAAATTTTGTTAACAACTGTCAAAGCCTGTAGCACCACCTACTGTTTTAAAATAAAATTTTTAGTAAAATATTTAATTTTTTTTAGTTGTAGATAGATATAATACCTTTATTTTATTTTATTTATTTATTTTTGTGTGGTGCTGAGAATTGAACCCAGTACGTCACATGTGCTAGGCAAGTGCTACCACTGAGACATAACCCTAGCCCCTAGTAATATTTTTTTATAGTATTTAAGTTAAGTGCCTCATAGACAAAGAGATATAATCCTGTGCATTGATTTAGGGAAATATAAAGTGTGACTGTCCAATGTTGTTCATAGTATTTGTAATCATAGCTCTGAACTATTGACATGTAAATTGCTGCCACAATATCCAGAAAGTGATGTAGTAATAATATGGAGTAATAATAAGTGATAACTTACTATTTATATGCTATGTACTGTTCTGAGTACCCAATATAGACTATACCATTTGAACACCACCATAACACTGTGAGAGAGGTTTCATGTGCATTTTACAAATGAAAACTCTGAGGCAGAGAAGTAACTTAGCCAAGGCCACTCTCCTAGTAAGTAACAGCTGGCATTCAGGCCCAGTGATTTGATACACTGGAGAATAAATGCCTGGGACCCTCTTGAGCAAAGAGCTCTCATCTTGATCAGTGCCTCACAAGTGTCTGTTAGCAAGGCACACAGCAGTGTGACTCATTTTCCTTTTTGCATCTGATTGTGCTCAGTAATGTATTTTATTCACATAAATATACATAGTAATCATAGCCAACACTTATATACACACCAAACATTCTTCTAAGTACTTTACATAAATGAATTCATTTATTCTTTTCAACAATCCTATGAAATACATTTTTTTTTGTACTGGCGACTGAATCCAGGGGTTCTTTACCACTGAACTATATCCCCAGCCTTTTTTAAATTTTATTTTTATTGTAGTGCTATTGATTGAACCAAGGGACTCATACATGACAGGCTAGCCCTTTACTACTGAGCTACTTCCCCAGCCATCGCCCCCACCAAAACACTTTTTTTTGGAGACAGGGTCTCACTAAGTTGCTTAGAACTTGGGATCCTCCTGCCTCAACCTCCTGAGTTGCTTGGATTACAGCTATGCGCCACCATGCCTGGCTTGAAATACCATTTTTAATTCCCATTTTACAGGCGAGGATAGTTAAGTAACTATCCAAGATTACTCATCTAGTAAATGACAGAGGCAGTACTGTACCCTGATATTCTGGCTATGCTGTTTGTGAACTATACTATAAATGTTTTTAAAAAGTTATTTTAAAATAATACAAGTGTCTTTGATAGAACAGAAATCACAGAGGTCTGCCTAGTTGGGCTCAGATCTGGAAAACATTGTGAAGGTGGAATGGAAATGGCTGATGTTCAAGAAAGACTGATTTAAGTTGTTTTAGTATCATAAATAATTCTGCATTGAATGTCTCCCTGGGCATTCCTGGTAAAATTTCTCTAGGGTAGATGGAGTCATGTGGATTCTTTCTCTCCAGAGTGGCTGTAACAACACGTTTTAATGTCTTCTTTTTTTGTCACTTTAAGGGAGCTTTATGCAATTTTTCTCCTTAAGTGTTGCTAGAATTTGTAGACAACCAAGGACTTTTGGTAATTATTCAAATTAAGTAAAGTTTGGTTGCTAATAAGAGACACAGAATTTACATCATTACCATAGAAGTACACTCGACTCACTCTACTACTATAGAAGCTAGTGTATTATCAAATACTTTGTTCTTTCTACCAGTACACACATTTCTGAACTAGAGAGAATGCGGGGGGCTGTGTTTAATAGTGCCATCTAGTGGTTACACTAAGTCCTGGCTACTGGAGACTTTCAGTCTTTAAAGTGTAGAAATATTACTCCCAGTAGGTCTAATTCAGAAGGGAGGAAAGAGTGTGGGGTGGGGGTGGGATGTCCAGGAACCTGCATATTTAAAAAGCAGCCTGTGTGGTTGTTGGTTCTGACGTTGCTTGGTCTGAACTCTGCTCTGTAGCACAGTTTTGCAGTTGCCTCCAGCTGCCTCTTCTTAATCCTCTTCTCTGGCAGCTGCTGTGGCATCTCTTGGGTTATGTGCGAGATGCAGGGATCTTCTGAGACTATTTTGAGTTGAAGAGGACCAGCTGAACTTGCACACAGGAGAATGATGGGAGTTGGCAAATGTATTTGGGATGAGAAGAAAGAGCCCAAATGATGACCTCTGTTTTGCCAAATCTACTTTCATTTTCTCCTTATTGATTTCTATTGACCTCAGTGCTACTTTTGACTGTGTGGGTCATCATTACTCCCTCTGCCTTCATATCTGTTAGCTTGTATCCAGTGTCTCCATAATCAGATGCTAGCACATTTCCCAGGTCCCCCTGAGAATGAAGTCCCCATGAACATGGAAATCTTTCATTATCCCATTGAGTCATGCTCAGGCCTTTTCTTGTAGTATTTGTTTCTCTGAAATTCTCAGTCCCCATTTTTATGCCCTCACTTCAACTTTTAAGCATCTTTTAAAATTCAGAAGACTTACAAACTCAAAGAAACCCTTTAGGGAACATTTATTGCTTACTCTCCTCTCCTAATTCCCTACCATGTTTGCCTTATACCCTCATCCTGGTACATCATCAAATAGTGTTTCTTTTGTTTTTTAAATAACTTTATTTATTATTTTTTAATGTGGTGCTGAGGATCTAACCTAGTGCCTCATATACGCTAGGCAAGCATTCTACCACTGAGCCACAATCTCAGCCCCCAATAAAGTTTCTTCTTGTAATGTAAATATTCCATTCATCCATCACTTCACTTCACTTCACTTCACTTATTCATTCATTCCTTATGTTGTTTCCCTTGCCTGGAATATAAATTTTATTCATTCTTCAAGTGCCACCCACTCAACTAAGCCAAATGTACACTATTCTTGGCTTCATTCATTGATTCGCCCTCTGTGATCTGCTTGAACTGAGAGTCCTGAATTTCCAGCTTTCACCCTTCTTTATTTCCTGTGTGTTCATGAATTCTATGTTAAATTTCTTCTGCTTCCTGTCAAATTTCAGGCTACATGAGGGCGGAAGCTGTTTTATGTAGTTTTTGATGTTTTCCAGAATTGTTTACACATTCACAAATGCACAATGTGGCTTAGCTGAACTTGTTTCCATTGTCTAATGAGTTGTCCTTATACTCACCTTACTCAAAGAGAGAAAGAAAAAGACCATTTTTTTCAAACACCTCTTTTTTGGCCAAATACTATGCTCAGAATTTTACATATACTCTCTTATTTAAAACTTAAAAGCCCTGTGAGTAGAATGTTACTGTCTTATAGGTTGGAACGGTTTAATAAATTGTGTTAACAAGTTGGCATTTGGACCCAGGCCCTTCTGACACCAAAACCCATATACCCTTTGCTCCAGTGCAAGGCCTTCAGTTTAGTTTTGCGTCTTCCTTTTGTGATGTTTTGTGATGATACTCTGCATCTGTACTTTTCCTCCCTGAAAAAGAGTCTGCTGTCAGGAATGAAGAGTGACACTGTATCCAGGAATGGCATTCTGTCCTGCTCCCTATACCCTGCTTCATGCCAAAGTGGAAATACCCTTCCTCACTTGTAGTCTGCTTGATACATAAGTAAAGCAGGGTGTCCACCTGCCTTTAACTTTTTTTTACTGGAGTAAGAGCATTTTTTAATGTAGAATAACTCTGGGCTCTGAAGCCCCATGGTGCTTCACAGAGCACCTAGGGATATGCTTGCATGTTCAGCCTCCTACACGCTGACTTAGGGGGTGTGAATGGCCTTGTTGAGCATGGTGACTTTGGAATCTCTTTGTATAACTAGCTCCGGAGAATGTCCAGACTGACAATACAAATCTGGATTTGTTCTGTTGTGTTTTCTGTCACAGGGATTCAGAGCAAGTCCTCGGCACATCAGACGGCGGGTTGCAGCAGCTGCAGCTGCCCGACTGGAAGAAGTGAAGCCCGTGGTGGAAGCTCACCATCAGAGTGAGCAAGAAACTTCAGTGAGGAAGCGAAGAATCAAGAAAAATAGCCGAGTCCAACCAGAATTTTACCACTCTGTTCAAGGTGCCTCAACCAGAAGGCCTGTAAGTAGAGAACTGTCCTTTGTAAGAATATTAAAATACTACCAAATGGTGTAGTCATTTTCTTGGTTTAAAAAAAAATTCAGATCAAATAATGGTGTTGTCCTGTTATTTTCCACAAGTGACTGTGTGCTCACATGAATTCCAGCAAGAAGTGTGGCTTCTTGAAAGGTGCTAGGCCAGATAGTTTTTGGAAGATGAGAGTTAGTCACTGTTAAGCAGATTGATATGAAAACTGGTGATTTTCCAGCTCCATTGGAGTGGGGGTCTAGAATGAGCACAGGGACTAGAGTGCCAACAAGAGGAGGTGTCCTGATGACATCAGAGCTGGTCAAAGGGCAGCAGTAAGGCCAGTCTTATCAGGTAGGGCTGGAGTCTCTTGTGGGCACTGATCCCTGCAGGAGGTGTGTGGGCCCTGGAGGCCTGAGCTCCCCTTTGCAGCGAGCACGGTGACTGTGGTAGTGCCTCTCCAGTGTGGCCTGGAGACTGTTCGAAGTCAACAGTGCCTTTATTAACTTGGTGCCCTGTGTCTCCACTGGCTGCGGTGCTGCCTTTCCTGGGGAACTCGGGGCTCAACTGGAAGCTGATTTCTACATTCTTCTCACTTCCTGAGCACATTGTTCTAAGTGCTGATTGTTTTTCTTGGTGGGGTTCTGGCACGTGGACTTTTAAACCAAAGTTGGAGAGTTAAGGATTCAGGGCTTGAAAATGCTGTCACTTAAAAACTTAAAAAAAAAAAAGTATTACAAGAATGCAATAATTTTACATTGCTTTGGTGGGGAACTAAATTCCTTTACAGAAAAGGTGGTTGTTATTATTAACCAGTTGCAATGTAAGTACTGTAAAGTGTTGCTGAATGACAGCAACACATTCTAAGAAATGTGTCTTTAATTGATTTCATTGTTTTGCAAATGTAGAATATACTTACACAAAATTAGGTGGTATGGCTTAGGCTTTTTGTTCCAAGGACCAGACTAAATCAAACAGGAGAGAAAATGATGCAAACAAGAGACTTGATAAACATGATGTCTGAAATTGAGGCTGGCATAACACGGCATACAGGCTTACAGTAAGCTTTGTTTTAATAACTAGAAAGAGGACACTCTTAAATAATGATAAAAAACATAGCATTGTAAACACACAAACCAGTAACATAATTGTGGATTTTTAGTAACAAGCATTATGTACATAATTGTTTGTACTGTGCTTTTGTGTGAACGGCAGTATTTTATACTAGCATCAGAGTTTTTATACTAGCATCACTACAAACACATGAAGAGTACATTGATCAAGATATTATGATGACTATGATGTCATTAGGTGATAGGAATTTTCCAGCTCCATTATAATCTAATGGGACTGCTGCATATATTATCTGTCACTGACCTAAATGTCATTATGTAGCATGTGACTATATATTTAGAGATGAAAGTCTTGTCTTTTCTTGATTTAATGAAACAGAGGCCATCTAAGTAGAATTTGGTATCTATGCAGAGAAATAGGAAATGGAAAGTTTATTTATTCAATAAATGTATGCTTTTTATACAGGAATAAAGGATATACAAAATATATTAGTAATAATTATTGAGAGCTTGGAGTGTGACAGGCATAATTCTATGTCACTCATTTAACAATCCTACAAAGTCAATGTTTTTATTATTCCCATTTTATGGATAATGAAATTGAGGCTTAAAGAGGGTAAATAATTTGCCTAAGGTGTGACCCAGTTGGTTTGGACAGATTTTAGGGATCCAGGTAGCCTGCTTCCAGATCTCGAGCACTTACGTCTATAGTAATATATAATACATGGTTTCTAGGAGTTCACAGCTGAGTCAGTCAACAGATATGCAAACAAGTATATATAATGCATGTTCTGTGTCATGAGAGTTCTGTTGTAGAGTTTTGCACTAGGCACTGTGGAAGCATCTTGGATGGCCAGAAGTAGTTACAACTAAGCAGTCACCTGAGATGAGTACAGAAAGATAAGAAAAAGTTCATCAAGTGGAAAGTGAAAAGTAGGTGTCTCAAATAAGAAGCACAGAGGCATAAAAGGACACGGCAGACTCAGTGAAAAACTTAGGGGTTGCCAATGAATCTGTATGGGTTAGGTAGGGGCAAATGAGACTTGTGTATTATGAGCTTGTGTATTATGATTCTGTGATGAGCATCAATTGAAGGTAGAGAATGGGTGAATTTGTTCTCTTGCTTAGAATCTAGCTGTAGTTCTTTTTGTGGCACCAGGGGTTGAACTCAGGGGTGCTTAACCACTGAAGTACATCTCCAGTTCTTTTTAATATTTTAAATTTTGAGACAGGGCCTTGCTAAATTGCTGAGGCTGGCTTTGAACTCACAAACCTTCTGCCTCAGCCTCCTGAGCTGCTGGGATTACAGGCGTGCACCACTGTGCTCAGCTCATTCTTTGCATCTCATCTCCACAAATGAATCAGAATAGAGAGGTAAGACATTATTTTCACAGTTTAGAAACTCTCAACCACCTTTATTTTCTTACAAACCCTTGACATAATTACTGTGGTTAATAAGATATCTTTGTGTCTCTGTGACTTTGAACCCATTCTCTACTTTGTCCTTGAATGTGATTTCTTCTGCTTGCCTAGTGAACCCCGATTTACCTTTGAAGACTGACTTGTGCTCACATGATGTGTTTACTGAAGTCTTTTCTGATCCTTACTTTTAGAATGAGCTGCCCTTCATTCCGATAAATGTCAGTACTTTGTACAGACCTTTAACATAGCAGGCATCTCAATGAAAAAGGAGGGCTCTGTAGTAATACCCACATAGGTTAAAATCTTGCTTTGTATATCTGCAGGAAATGGTTGTCACACTTAGTGGGTTTAACTGGAGAGAATTCCCCCCTACCTGCCTTCCCCCCGGGGATTAAACCCAGAGGTGCTTAATCACTGAGCCACATCCCCAGTCCTTTTTATTTTTTTATTTTGAGACAGGGTATCACTAAATTGCTTAGGGCCTCGTTAAATTGCTGAAGCTGGCTTTGAACTTGTGATCCTCTTCAGCTGCTAAGATTATAGGCGTGTGCCACTGTGCCTGACTGGAGAGAGTTTTACGGAGGGACTATGGAGGTGTAGATAGGACAAGGTACTTATGGAGGTGTGGATGGGGAAGGTACTTCTCTAGGCTACAAGTGGAACATTCCTTTCTACTACTCCTGACCTTAAGAGGCAACCGGAAGCAGTCATTGGTCTTGCTAGATCCTCATAGGAAGATCTGGAACAGTGGACGAACCCTTTCACAGGAGCTGGCTGTGGCTGTGGAATGCAGCCACTACTTGAGTTTTCATAAGTCAGGAAGGAGCAGGGGGAGTGGGTACATGTCCTCTTAGCCCCTGTGGTGCTTCCTGTTGACCCAGCCTAACTGGTAGCCACAGTGCGAAGTAGCTTGTATAGTACAAATCCTAGAGATCAGGCTTCCAGTGACAGAGAACAAGGCAGAGATGGGCAGAGTACCTGAGAAGGGGACAGGGACAGCACAGAGTGAGAAATATACATGGTAGCCTTTCTAAGTTGTTTCAACTCTTTGAGACCCAGCTTCCTTATTGTACGATGACAGTGGCTGTCTCATAGAGTTGTGAGGATGAACTGAACTAATGCATTGAAAAAAGATGTCATGGTGATCTGTTTAGAATGGACACTCAGTAAATGGTAAGTTTCTTTCCTTCCTCTTCTCCCATAGACTATGACTTAGTATTCTGAGGGCCATATTGTGTGGTCCAGAATATCTCCTAACATCTGGCATCCAAATGCATTTTATTGATTAAATGAATGAGTAATATTTATGTGTGAAATAGAGCAAAGGGAATGAGTGTCACTATAGGAATTTAGAGTATGCAGAGGGGTTCTTTCATATCACAAATAGGAAGGTTTGGGGATATCTATGGGAGAACTGGGATTGCTTTGGTATGAATTGGCTAGGCAGCAGGTAGTGGAGTAGGTTTAGGAAGTGGAGAAGCAAAACTACTGAGAACTGTTTGAATGTGGGATTTATCTAAGATAAGTACAAAATAATGCTGGAAAGACAGATTGGAGCCAGAGTGTATTCCAGACAGCCACCGATTTAAAGTTTACTTCCTGTGCTTCATAGAGACACTGGAAGAGTTGAGTATTGGGAGTTTAAGAAGACTAAACATGTTCAGGGTGAGCTAGGGACACAGGATGGACGACAGTTTAGTAACCACTGCAGAGGTCTAGGTGCGAGGTGTTTAGTGCCTAAACTTCAGCCTAAAGCTTGGCATGCTCTGCTGGCATCTGATATCATTGTTGATGGGGAATCTGAGGATGGCCTTCCCTGGAGGAGCACTTGGAAGAGTGAGAGATTAGGGGTTAGAAAATAGCGGTGCAGGCTACTCAGTTGCTTGGAGCACAACAACATTCAGGAGGTTAGGGTGGATAGGGAGTTATTTAGGGCAGGTGGAACTTACTTCCTCCATCTGACTGCATCTCCTATCAGTTGTCTCAGAGACAAGAAATTGTCAAAGTCTGTATTAAGGAGGCTGTTGGCTACTTGTCTTACATGATTCCTGTGCAGTCTTCTGGAACATTACGGCCTCTGCTCAATTTCTGTTTTTTTTTTTTTTCATATGGGACTCAAACTGAAGCTTCTGAAGCTTTGTGTCATCTAATGGATTTGGTTAGGTGCAGTTGGTCCTACCTGTTAGAGCGACCCTTTTTTCCACAGGCCCAAATCTGTGCTGTTTCTAACGTACACATTTGGAGAAAGTCAGTGTTAGCACATGGTGCTATAAAAGCAACTCTGGTTGTGGCTTGGAGATGCAATAAAAATAAATCAGCTGCGGTGATTTAGGATTATTTGAAAGACTTTATATGGAGCACTCCAGGCATTTCTAGTGGCATTCTGAATAAGTCATAGGCCCACGAGTGAGAAAGACTGAAACAGAAGTAGCTGTGCAGGAGATGAATCAGAAAATGTGACTTTGCAGTTTCAGACAAATTGTAGTAGAACCGTCCTCT